AGCATTGAAACAAGTATACTATCAAGGGTGAAACAGATCACCAGCCCAGGTTGGATGCATGAGACAAGTGCTCAGGGCTGGTGCACTGGGAAGACCCAGAGGGATGGGATGGGGAGGGAGGCGGGAGGGGGGATCGGGATGGGGAACACATGACTTCCCATCTTTGAAGACAGTTGAGCATAAACTGTCTATGGCAGCCAAATTACATAACACCTTAATTTTTAGAAAAGACTGAGCACTATTTCACATGGATAGTATAAAATTATTTAGAAGACTTTTAGATCTAATTAAGATCTGTTAAAGAAAGTGACAACAATTAGCACAAGCAAATATGTTTTTCCTGTTGTCTAGAATATTCCTTCTTGGTGTTCTATTGACATGTCAGAAATATTTCTATGGGTTGATTTAAAGTTCATGGCCACATGATGACTAATATTGCATCATAACAGAGCTTGGAATGCTGCTTGTACTGTTCTGTGCAGGATACGCCCATCTGCCTTCTTGCCACAACCCGCTACATGAATTTAATCTTCTCTGATGATCAAGTCACTGTCAGCTTAAGCAGTGAAGAATTCAGCAAGATTTTCCAGGTTAACAGTGATAATCACTTATTGGTCCAACGTTCAGAACTAACAAAAGCAGGTGGACAATACACAGTAGATGTGGAAGGACAAGGTTGTGCATTTATCCAGGTAATAGAACTCTGTGAGAAAGATGGGTGTTTGCCCATAAAAAAGGCAAACTATCTTTCCAGTTATGTATGAAGTGCTATTTTACTCTTGCATATTTTCATGATTACACTTTCCTCCATTGATATTTACCACTCAACAGCTGAAAACTAAAGTTATTTTGTAAAAGGCTACTTACTCTTAAAGATAACTGGATAACTGAGAAGTTTGTTGAGGAATGTCAGTGTTTGAGGGTGTTCTGATATTTTTATTAAATTACATTGTTAAAGATTCTTGTGTCTTCTGACAATCAAATGATTACATTTAGCCTTATTCCCCAATAGTGAAGTTATAAAATAAAGTGCATTAATAATGGAAATGAAGGCTTCCCTGGTGGCTCAGTGGTAAAGAATCTGCCTGCTAATGCAGAATAGGCAGGGGTTTGATCCCTGGCTCAGGAAGATCCCCTGGAGAAGGAAATGACAATCAACTCCAGTATTCTTGCCTGGGAAATCCCATGGACAGAGGAGCTCAGTGAGCTACAGTCCATGGGGCTGCAAAGAGTCAGACACAACTTAGTGACCAACAACAGCAATAATGGAAATAAGAGAAACAATAGTGCTTCAATTTTTACTATATGATGGATGGATGGATTTTTTTTCCTAACACTTTTCTATCCTTCCTAGGCTACCCTAAGGTATAATGTGCTGCTACCTAAGAAGGAATCTGGATTTTCCCTTTCCTTACAAATAGTAAAGAAAAACTCTTCGGATGTATCCCAGAGTAATTTTGACCTGACAGTAACCCTCAGGTAAGTGTCCCATTTTGATGTCAACTCTCAGGTTAGAGAGAAAGTGGTGCATCAGAAAAGTTAAACAAAATATAGAAAGCACTCATTTGAAAAGACACATGCACTCCAATGTTCATAGTAGCACTATTTATAATGGAAGCAACCTGGGTTTCCCTGGTGGCTCAGCAGTAAAGAATCCACCTGCAATGCAGGAGCTGCAGGAGACCTAGGTTCAATCCCTGGGTTGGGAAGATCCCCTGGAGAAGGAAATGGCAACCCACTCCAGTATTCTTGCCTAGAGAATCCCCATGGACAGAGGAGCCTGGCGGGCTACAGTCTGTGGGCTTGCAAAGAGTCAGGCATGTCTGAGAGACTCAGTACAAAGCACATGCCAAGTGAAATAAGTCAGACAGAGAAGGACAAACACTGTATGATATCACTTACATGTGGAAACTAAAGGATACAACGAACTAGTGAATATAACAAAAAAGAGGTGGACTTACAGATATAAAGAACAAACTAGTGATTACCAGTGGGGAGAAGGGGGAGTGGGAATCTGTGGATTGGGGAGTGGGAGGCACAAACCATGGAGGGTGTAAGATAGACTCAAGGATGTATTGTACAGCCCTGGGGGATATAGCCAATATTTTTTAATAACTATAAATGGAGACTAATCTTTAAATTGTATAAAAAATATTTATACATTGATAATGTCAATAATCACATGTTGATGGTGATATTTCTATAATGTGGTCAATTCATTGCTCTCTGTGCCCACATCACAATTTAGTACATCTTCAACTAAGTCAAAGCTAGAATTATGCAAACATAATCTGTACTGTATGCAATTTGAAAGCTTCTGCCACACTACTCCTTCAGCAGTGCTTCCACCTTTCTGTGTGTCAGTTTTGCAAAACAGAGATACAATCTTCTTTCTAAAGACAAGCATGGGTGGGCCAAGAAGAGAAAACCTGCTAACATTTATTTAATCATTAATATAACTGTACGCAAAGCAAAATTTTAGATATTTTTCCGTGTAGAAAAGCAAAGTAATTCTCTTGAATTAAAATATAATTTATAGGCACTGAAGAGTTTTAGTCTTGGTTAATGTGTAATGCTCTTTCATATTTATCCCTGCCTGCCAATTTCCTTAAAGCTTGAAAATAATGGCCAAGTAATGAAGAGTGAATTCAAGAATGACCATGTTCTTTTCTACCTGGAAAATGTAAGTTGACAATAATTTTTTTCTCTGCGGCTTTCTTTTTCTTCTGAGAGTAACTGGATGCTTTGATTTCTCATAAACATACATGATAGGGTTTGTCAAAACTATGTGAGATGTTAAATGTGATCAGTGTTCTTACACCCCACTAATTGTTTTTTCCCTCTTAAATACTATGCTATTTCGTGTATGCCTTGGCTAACTGGATGATTCTCAAGTTTAGAAGCATCATTTCCCCATTCTTTTATTCCTCACAGCATCTAACATAGTCTGGTCAAAGATGTACAATTCTTTTACAATTTGACTTGAACTCCAGCAGAGGCTGGCATGAGTTTCAGACTCATCCTTTCTATGTATACATCATTAACATTCACAAAAATGCCTACATTTTTCTAACATTTTCAACTTTCTTGTACCTCAATATAATCGGTGAAACAACATTTTGCACAATTTAATGTTACTTAATTCATTATTTTGTCATTATGTAAGATCATGACACCCTGGATTTATCATAAACTTCTGGAACTAATTTGCTCTGTGGTTTTCCTTTTTTGCAGGCCTGCTCTGGTGTATTTATAATCTGTATCTTTATAGGTTTCAGGTACAGCAAAGAGTTTCACCTTCTCTGTTGAGCAAATCAACCATGTGGCAAACATTCAGCCAGCCCCAGTCATGGTCTACGATTATTATGAAAAAGGTAGGTAGGCAACAACCATGCTTTAAAACTACTGGAAGTTACATCTGTATCTAGGATTCCCTGAACAACTTAATTTTTGAAAATCATCCTTGGTCTTCAATATCTGGGTTTACTTTACATATTGTTTTTTTACTCCATTATATATACATATATTATATATTAATGTAATTTTTATATATTTATATATTTGTTTATATTTATATATGCATTTATTATATTGTTTATAAATATTTATATATTTTATGTATACTTATATATATATATATATATATAAACTTCTGACTGGGCCTTTTTCTATTTGCCAGAATTTTTCAACACCTAGAATCCTTTTGATATAATGAGAAGGCACTCCCTTTAATTTGAAATACAAACCAGCTAAGCTTCCAGGTCTTGTTGCTGTTGTTTTTGTTGTTAATGGCTGAAACTTACCATTTCATGCTACATCTATGGACTTTAATTTGAGAGGAATAGTGAGAAATATTCTGAAATGTTATAGGCAAATCTTGATTAGGTTTCAAAGCAGTTACTAATGCTATTCAGAAGATTTTTTTAAAATGTTCCCTGGAAGGTTAGTGCTATTAATTTCTTGTTGAATGTCATGAGAAGTTTGTCAACCAGTCTTTGGGGATTTTTGGTGGGGTTTTTTGTCATTCTTTTGTTTTTTTGGCTGTGCTGGGTCTTTGTGGCAGGATGCAGACTCAGTAGCCCTACAGCATGTGGGATCCTGGTTCCCCCACCAGGGATCAATCTTGCGTCCTCTGCATTTGAAGGTAGATTCTTAACCACTGGATCACAAGGAAACCCCTGTAAAGCAGTCTTTAAATTCTGACTCTGTCATTTACTAATTGAATGTACTTTGTCAAGTGCCTTAAACTCTGATACAATGTTCCTGGATTTAGAAAATAGAAGGAATTGACTTTCTTGAAAAATTACTGGAAGTGTTAGACCTAGTGTGATTATATTGTCTGACATCATCTGGTTATAGAAAGTTGGAGTAATAATAAGGATGAACTTTCTTTTTATTTTCCAGATGAATATGCCCTTGCTTCTTACAATATCAACAGTGTTTCTGTTTCTCAGTGAGACAAAACAAAATACACAAAAAAGGTAAGGAAATCATATGCATCGTGAGTTATTAAAAACACATCTGGTGAGAAAATGAAAACCTAAGAAGATAAAACAATAGATGAAGCAAAGAGAAGTCTCTGGTGCTTCACACGGTCTGTACAATTATGTACATTAGGTAAGTACTCTGATAGGACAGCATTAAGATTTTTTTAAATAACTTTAAAGAATTTGAAACTATATATGTGCTTTTCATAAATGTTTCATTTTTAAAAAACTCTTGTGTTTGTTTTATGAGTTGATATGTTATTAATATGTATGTACATATTTTATACACATTATGTGTATGCTAATGTGAATTTGTGCAGGTCTGTAAATATGTATTTGTTTATCTACCTCTATGTTCGTATTTATATGTATATACACACATTTATTAATTGTTTGAACTGTTTTTAAATCCCAGGTAGAAAACAATTTACTTTGAATGAACTTATTCTGCTGTCTCAAACCTGGAAGAAATCCATGAACCACGTCACATTCTGAATAGAGTTCACTCTGCTATGAGTTCTTATCACAGTTTGTTTCATTAAATGCTGTGATTTTTGCATCCGAGTCTCTGATTTTCTTTTTTTCATTACACCATTCATAATTTTCATCCTAGAAAACTCAAGGTTTTGTTTGATACCAAATGCTAACAATTTTGCTTTACTGTTGTCAATTCTGAATTCAAGTTTTTAGACAGAATTCAGGGTACTAAATATAAAATCTTCCAGCATTCAGAGAAAGCGAGAGCCCAGATTCCCAGAGGGGTAGAGGAGGAGACCACCTTTAAGAGGACTTCACGTGAGCTTGATGATATAAAAAGAAACACAGAAGACATAAAACACTCTTCCCAATAAAATAACAAAGCATGTGTGGAGGGGAGAGTATACTTAGTCACAAATTAACTGATGGATTTGTTGAATTCACACACATGATCTAGAGGGTAATCCAAGGACAGTTTATTTCTCTAAAAATTATTTTATTGGCCTGAGCTTATCACTTACTCCTGAAAAGCAATACTCATTGTCTACCCTTTACCTAACACTATGGTTGAAGCAATGAGTTAATACTGAGAAGATGGAGGTGGGGCAAAATTGGAGGAAAGAGGGGTGGAAATGAATTCATTTCTCTACCGATTTCAATGCAGGCCCTAACTCTGCTGTGACTCTGTTACAGACAGGAAGGAGCTAGAGATAAATTCTCCAGTTGTGGAGTTCAAAATATTGGAAACAAAGTGTCTCAGGGTCTATCAGTATTCAACAAATTAATAATAGAGTGACAGTAAAAATGGTTAGGCTTATTTTATACTCTCTCTGCTCAATGTATCCCCAAAATAGTACTAAGCTACAACTGGGCCCTTAATAAATGTTTATTTATTGAATTATCCTAGATAAACTGCTTATGTCAGCCCATATGAAGGACTACAAAAGCTTATTTCACTGTTAAGAATTCCTTTATACCTAGTTTACCAAAACACCGTATGTCACATATGTAGATAATCTGTACTCATGTTTTTTTTTTTAATTTTTGTACTCATTTAAACACACACACACCCCAGAATCTATACATATTATATTCAAGGATTCCATTCAAGGACTTGGACCAGGGTAGTAATGGTGAGGATAGAAATTATCAAGTTCCAGGTATATTTTGAAGGTAAAATCAGTAGAATTTCCTGATGGATTGGATACAAGGAATGAGGAANCAGAATCTATACATATTATATTCAAGGATTCCATTCAAGGACTTGGACCAGGGTAGTAATGGTGAGGATAGAAATTATCAAGTTCCAGGTATATTTTGAAGGTAAAATCAGTAGAATTTCCTGATGGATTGGATACAAGGAATGAGGAAATGAGGACTTTCTAGGTGATGCTAGTGGTAAAGAATTCGCTTGCTAACGCAGAAGACTTTAGAGACATGGGTTTGATCCTCAAGTTGGGAAGATCCCCTGGAGGAGGGCATGGCAACCCACTCCAGTATTCTTGCTTGGAGAATCCCATGGACAGAGGAACCTGGCAGGCTATAGTCCATAGGGTGGCAAAGAGTTGGACACAGAGATTATTTCCATGCTTATCAGTTGAGCTACTGAAAAATAGATTCCCTGAGCTGCTGCAAGCTTGAATAGGAAAATGGGAATTTGTCTTTGGATGTAGGGAGTTTGTGATTTTATACACTCAAATGGAGATAATAGGTTGAAAGTTCAACAACAACAACAAAAAAAAATTATTAGAAATTTGAGAGAGAGCTCAGGGTTAAAAAAATAAATAAATAAATGTGGGTGATGTTAGCACACAGATCATGGATGGGAGGAGTTCACTCAGGCAGTGAGTCCGTATGGAGAGGAAAATCAAGGACTTTACTGTGAGGCATTCAAATATTAAAACACAAGGCAGGAGCAGGTTGAGGGAGAATGAATAAAGGAGACTACGAAGGAGAAACCAGAGGAATAAAATGAAAACTCTGGCCTCAGGGTACTTTTGGATGGAGCATAATGGTTTAAGCCAATCACATTACCACTGTCTCCTCTGACAGTGACTGGTTTTCGCAGGTCAGGTTCCCTAGAATGCAAACCCTGGATGGAGATAGGTGTGTAAGGCATTTATTGGGGACAATTTTGAAGATCAACAGCAGTACAGGGTAAAGGAGCAGGATTGTACAGATGGAAGACTTGAGCTGCAATGGGTCTCAACAAAAGTTTGAGCCCATACTTAGCTTTATTGCTGGGATGGTCTTTTAGAGCTTCTCCTACTTTAAGGCAAGGGACTTCCAAGTGGTGTAGTGGTGAAGAATTCACCTGCCGATGAAGGAGACGCAGGAGATCCAGGTTCAATCCCTAGGTCTGTAATATCCCCTGGAAAGGAAATGGCAACCTACTTCAGTATTCTCCCCTGGAAAATTCCATGGACAGTGGAGCCTGGTGGGCTACAGTCCATGGGGCTGCAAAGAGTTAGATATGACTGAGCAACTGAGCAGGCACATGCACATTAACGCAAGGGAGCCAAGTCTTTATATAATCATGGATAAATAAGAGACAAAAAAAAAAAAAACAGTTATTTACATACTTCCTTATGATCGCAATTGACTCTCCACATAAGCATCATGTGCTCAGTCCATGAGGTCGACTCTTTGCGACCCCATGGACTGTATTTACTGAATACAGAGATGCCTCTAACGAAGAGGAGGAAGAAGAGGGGAATTGTGTAAAAAGTCTTTCTGATATTCAGGGAAATTCTCAGTGCTGAAGTCATCCAAGAACTAAGAGCCACCAAGATTCCCAGCAGTTAGGGTTATGAGTACTTCAGCCATGAAGTAGAATTTCTAAGGAACACACCTCTGATTACTATACTTTGATCTAACAATGAGAAATTGACATTGAATCTGACTAAGGACCTATACAGGGGTGACTCCTAATACAACAACCAGACTGATTTTGCTCTGGTAGAGAAGAGAGAAGCAGACAGAGAGAGAAAGAGAAAGGAAAAGAAATAAAGAGATTGGGGAGCAGAAAATTTTGTTTTTTACTGACTCCTTTCTTCCCCAGATTGGGATATTGTTGGGAAGAAATAATTTTTGGTACTTTAGGAGTCAAACTGTGGCCAAAAAGGAAAATAATACTGATATACCTAAGAAGTAAAGTGGAAACAATGGAAGAAACTTCTTGATGGCATCGGTGAGCTATTGAATTAATGCTGGTACCATGTTCCTCAGAATTTGTGCCAAATGAGATAATAAATATTTGGTATTTTAAAACCTCTGCTAGTAAGACATTCTTTTACTTGCCACTGATAAAGTTTTCCTGCTCATTCATTTTTTCCCCAATTCTTTGCCTCTGTTTTCCTGTCTTATCTTCATATAGAATCTGTGATGCCTCCTTTTTAAAGTTTCTTCTGATTACTAATCCCAGGAAAATCATTTGGAAGGGTCAGTATAGGTGTCTGGCTGACATGAAACATCCAATGCTCACAGTAATGGTCTCCGTGAGTAGGACTTTGAAGGTCCGTGTGTGGGTGGGTGGGAGTGTAATATTTAGTCTTAAAAGGGACCTATCCAATGTTTTCCACATGTCAGGCACTGTGCTAATCAATTTAAATATACTAATTGACTCATTGGAAAAGATTCTGATAATAGGAAAGATTGAAGGCAAGAGGAGAAGGGGGTGACAGAGGATGAGATGGTTGGGTGGCATCATTTGACTCAATGGATATGAGTTTGAGCAAGTTCAGGGAGTTGGTGATGGACAAGGAAGCCTGGTGTGCTGTAATTCACAGGGTCATAAAGAGTTGGACACAACTTAGCAACTGAACAACAACAATGTAATTCCCACAGTTCGGTTCAGTTCAGTCACTCAGTCGTGTCTGACTCTTTGCGACCCCATGGACTGCAGCACACCAGGCCTCCGTGTCCATCACCAACTCCCTGAGTTTGCTCAAAGTCATGTCCACTGAGTCAGTGATGCCATCCAACCATCTCATCCTAGTTGTCCCCTTCTCCTCTTGCCTTCAATCTTTCCCAGCATGAGGGTCTTTTCCAATGAGTGAGTTCTTCGCATCAGATGGCCAAAGTATTGGAGTTTCAGCTTCAACATCAGTCCTTCCAATGAACATTTAGGAGTGATTTCCTTTAGGATGGACTGGTTGGATCTCCTCGCTGTACAACGGACTCTCAAGAGTCTTCTCCAACACCAGAATTCAAAAGCATCAATTCTTTGGTGCTCAGCTTTCATTATAGTCCAACTCTTACATCCATACATGACCACTGGAAAAACCGTAGCCTGGACTAGAGAGACCTTTGTCTCTTTGTCAGAGACAAAGTAATGTCTCTGACTTTTAATATTCTGTCTAGATTGGTCATAACTTTTCTTCCAAGGAGTAAGCATCTTTTTATTTCATGGCTGCAATCACCATCTGCAGTGATTTGGGAGCCCCAAAAAATAAAGTCTCCCACTGTTTCCACTGTTTACCCATCTATTTGCCATGAAGTGATGGGACCAGATGCCATGATCTTAGTTTTCTGAATGTTGAGCTTTAAGCCAGCTTTTTCACTCTCCTCTTTCA